GCAGTTTTGCAGTTTTGCAGTTTTTTTTTTGGCCTGAAAGATCCCTTTTTTGTTTTTGCAACAAGTAAAAACCTAATTTCACGTTCATTTAGTATTATTAATTTGTCTTAGAATTTAGAAACAGATTTTAGGCTTGAAAAATCAATCACTTAATTATATTTCAGAATAAAATATAGGTGACAACATAGGATTAATGTATTAAATGTAATATGCTGATGAAGGTTCTCAGTCATCAAGGTCATAGTCATTCCAAAAAAAAAGAAAATGAAAAACAATCCACTGGACACTGGACGTTCTGCTTCCCATCCAGGAGGCTTTTTAAATTCAAAATGTCAGGAATAGCTTTGAGATCGAGGTTTTATACAGTAGCCCAACAAGGCCTTGTTTTTGTTTTAAAAAAATGTATAAATAAATGTTTTCATTCAATGGAAATGGAAACCGACTTCAAACTTGGAAACAAAGCCCAGTGAATTGCTTTTAATTTTGCTTTTTTTTGGAATCTAAAGTGCACACAATCTGTAATTAAATATGAGTTTCATTTTATTTATTTATTATTTGTCATAGTTTGTCATAGTTTCTTGCTCTGGCATGAAATTAGTATTCAGATCATCTTTGAAGCCAGTGGTTACTGATCAGCTGCCTGGCATCTCAGCTTGTTACAGGAATGATAGGAGCAGATCCTTATATTACAAAGGGTCCCTTTAAACCCCAGAAATTAGTTGCTGTAAATGTTTTCTCAATACATACAAATTGTTCAATGGCAGAGTTCTGGCCTAGGTGAAAACAATCTTTTCAAATTTTTAATATGTCTGGGCCTACACACAAGCTCACTGAGTACCACTGAGCAGATGTGAGCATTGAGGTCCACACACCAATATTAAACTTATTATAACTTATTACACCCACAAGTAAAGCAGTTTACATTGTTTTTTTAGAAGAAATAGATTAAAAAACAATTTCCATTAGTTTACTTTAAATTAAAATGATTTGACCCACTAAAAAAACAAAAGAAATTGTAAATCGTGACATGTGTAGTATGTGTAGTATATGTATTAGTCCTGCTTTGGTCAGGGTGAGGGTCCTGTTCTGAAAGAAAAAAGAAAATTAATTTTCATTATAAAACTAGTGATATTTAAAACTGGGATTTAAGAGTAGATTGTGCAAATAATAGCTGAGTTTTAGTAAAGCTGATCTGCACATCCAGCGTTCAGCAGGCTGAATTCATATATAATGGCGGTCATAAAGACGAGATGCTATAACAGCCCAAAACGAAATAAAAATAAGATTATGTTATTTCCTATTAATTTGTTTTTTTTTTATATATATTCGCTTTAGTGTGTCAAGCAAAAATAATGGTTCTCTATTTCTCTATTTGAGGGAATAACTGTTGTTTCTCATATTTTTGTTGTTGGATTTATGCTCAAGCAGTGCGCAATTGCACAAGCGCGCAGCTTAGAGGCAACATTGGCTGAGAGACTCACTAATTGTTCACCACATCAAATAGAGCCTACTTCTCATCCACAGGATTTTTAAAG